CTTGGATGATAATGGAATAGTTTAGGTTAGATGGGCTTCAGATTGGTTTCACAGGTCAGCGAAACATCGAGGGCCGAAGGGCCTGTACTGCGCTGTAATGTAATGGCCTAGTGGTATTATCAATGGACTATTAAGCCAGAAACCCAGATAATGTTCTGGGAACCCAGGCTCGAATCCCGCCATGGAAGATGGTGGAATTTGAATTCAATAAAATATCTGGAATTAAGAGTCTAATGATGACCGTGAATCCATTGTCCATTGTTGGGGTGGGGGGGGAAAAAACCCATCTGGTTCACTAATTTCCTTTTCAGAAGGAAACTACCATCCTTACCTGGCTTGGCCTACATGTGACTCCAGACCCACAGCAATGTGGTTGACTCTTAACTGCCCTCTGGGCAATTAGGGATGGGCAATAAGTGCTGCCTGGCCAGCAACACCCTCATCTCGTGAATGAATAAAGGAAAAAAAGAGATGACTTGGAATCATAGAATTTTACAGTACAGAAAGAGGCCATTTGACCCATTGCATCTGTGCTGGCTCCTGAAAAAGTTACCCAGCCAGTCCCACGCTCCAGCCCTATCTATGTAACCCTTTAAATTCATCACTTTCAAATATATATCTTTTAAAACCTCCTATGGAATTCTCCTCCACCACTCTCTCAGGCAGCACATTCTAAATTCTAACAACTCTCTGAGTAAAGAGGTTTCTCCTCATCTCACTCCTAGCTCTCTTACAGTTGTGACCCCCTGTTAATGACATACCAACTCAAGCAAACAGAATGTCGTTCTTTACCCTGTCAGAATTGTTCATAATTTTGAACACCACAATAAGGTCACCTCTTAATCTTCTCTGCGCCAAAGAGAATAAGCCCAATCTCTCTAATCTTTCCTTCATTTCTTCATTCCTGGTATCATTTTAGTAAGTCTCCTCCGAACTCTCTCCAGAGCTTTAATATCCTTCCTGAAATAAGTGCACAGAACTGAACACAATCCTCCAGATGTGGTCTGACCAATGGTTTGTAGAGGTGTAGCATCACTTCCTTGTTTTTATACTCTATGCCCCTATTTATAAACACAAGTACCCTATAAGCCATCTTAATAACTGTTTCAACTTGCCTGGCCATCTTCAGAGACTTAATTGAAATATATAAGATCCTGAAGGGTCTTAACACTGTGGATGTGGAAAAAAACCTTCCCCTTACAGGAGGTTCTAGAACTAGGCGGTCAATGCCCATTTAAGACAAATAGGAGAAATATTTTCTCTTGGGGAAAGGTGGTAGAAGCACAGCCTTTGAATATTTTTAAAGCAGAGGTAGAAAGATTGTTGATAAGTGAATAGGGTGCAAGGTTTTCAACAGTACGCAAGATAATGGAGTAATCAGATCAGCCATGAGTTTGTTTATTGGTGGCCTTTGTTAAACTGCATTTTTTTTATTCATTCTTCATGTGGCTGGATAGGCCAGCATTTATTGCCATCCCTAATTGCCCAGAGGGCAGTTAAGAGTCAACCAGTTTGCTGTGGGTCTGGAGTCACATAGACACCAGGCCAGGTAAGGATGGCAGTTTCCCTCCCAAAAGGACGTTAGTGAACCTGATGGATTTTTCCCAACAATTGGCAATGGATTCATGATCACCAACAGACTCTCAATTCCAGATTTGATTTTTTTTATTGAATTCAAATTCCACCATTTGCCATTTTGGGATTGGACCCGAGTGCCCACAATATTACCCAGGTCTCTGTATTAACTGCCATAGAGTTATACAGCACGGAAACAGACCCTTTGGTACATCTAGCCAATGCCAAATGTAATTCCAAACTAAAATAGTCCCACCTGCCTGCGACTGGCCTATATCCCTCCAAACCTTTCCTATTCATGTAGCAAAAGCCTTTTAAACATTGTGACTGTATCCACATCCTCCATCTCCTCAGGGCATTCATTCCACATGCAAACAACCCCCTGTGAAAAAAAAATGCCCCTCATGTCCTTTTTAAATCTCTGCCCTCTCACCTTAAAAAAGTGCCCCCTAGTCTTGAAATCCCCTATCCTAGGGAAAAGGTAACAACTATGAACCCTATCTATACCCTTCATGATTTTATAAACCTCTGTAAGGTCACCTCTCACCAGCGATAATACCTCAAGGCCATCGCCCAGTGACTTCAAATAATTTGTGGGTCAGACCTTCCAGCTCTTTTGCCTCCCCATGCTCAATTTGGACTCAAAAGTAAACACTTAGCTGCATGCAGTCACAACTATTCAGTAGAGGGAGTAAGTGACGGTCTGTGGATGTGAATAAACATTAATACGAGATAATGCATAATTGAGCCTGGAAACATGAAATGTGGAAACAGTGAGGAAACATCCCATTAACTAACTTCAGGCAGTAATTCGCTTTGCGTGTGATCATTGATTATTGACAGAAAGTTTCCAGTCAAGACAGAACGGCTGTCAGTAAAACAAATCGGGCAATTTTTTGGAAACAATGGCAAAACAGCGCAGAAATGGGAAATAAAACCTGAATACGCAGCAGATCTAGCAGCTTCCGAAGACGGAGAAACAGATTTACTGGGACAACAAGGTCAGGGCTGGATGAACACAGCAGGCCAAGCAGCATCATAGGAGCAGGAAGGCTGACGTTTCGGGCCGAGACCCTTCATCAGAAAAGGGGGAGGGGAAGGGGGTTCTGAAATAAATAGGGAGAGAGTGGGAGGCGGATAGAAGAGGGATAGAGGAGAGGATAGGTGGAGAGGAAACAAACAGGTCGAAGAGGCGGGGATGGAGCCAGTAAAGGTGAGTGTAGGTAGGGAGTTAGGAAGGGGATAGGTAAGTCCAGGGAGGACGGACAGGTCAAGGGGGAGGGATGAGGTTGGTCGGTAGGAGATGGAGGTGTGGTTTGAGGTGGGAGGAGGGGATAGGTGGGAGGAAGGACAGGTTAGGGAGGCAGGGACGAGCTGGACTGGTTTTGGGATGCGGTAGCGGGAGGGGAGATTTTGAAACTTGTGAAATCCACATTGATAGCATTGGGCTGCAGGGTTCCCAAGCGGAATATGAGTTGCTGTTCCTGCAACCTTCGGGTGGCATCGTTGTGGCACTGCAGGAGGCCCAGGATGGACATGTCGTCTGAGGAATGGGAGGGGGAGTTGAAATGGTTCGCCACTGGGAGGTGCAGTTGTTTATTGCGAACCGAGCGTGGGTGTTCTGCAAAGCGGTCCCCGAGCCTCCGCTTGGTTTCCCCGATGTAGAGGAAGCCACACCGGGTACAGCGGATGCAGTATACCACATTGGCAGATGTGCAGGTGAACATCTGCTTGATGTGGAAAGTCTTCTTGGGGCGTGGGATGGGGGTGAGGGAGGAGGTATGGGGGCAGGTGTAGCACTTCCTGCGGTTGCAGGGAAAAGTGCCGCGTGTGGTGGAGCTGGAGGGGAGTGTGGAGCGGACAAGGGAGTCATGGAGAGAGTTGTCCCTCCGGAAAGCAGATAAGTGTGGGGAGGGAAAGATGTCTTTGGTGGTGGGGTCGGATTGCAGATGGCGGAAGTGTTGGAGGATGAGGCGTTGGATCCGGAGGTGGGTGGGGTGGTACGTGAGGACGAGGGGGATTCTTTTTTGATTCTTATTGCGTGGACGGGGTGTGAGGGATGAGGTGCGGGAGATGTGGGAGACGCGGTTGAGGGCGTTCTCGACAACCGAGGGGGGGATGTTACGGTCCACACCCGGCACTTTTCCCTGCAACCGCAGGAAGTGCTACACCTGCCCCCATACCTCCTCCCTCACCCCCATCCCACGTCCCAAGAAGACTTTCCACATCAAGCAGATGTTCACCTGCACATCTGCCAATGTGGTATACTGCATCTGCTGTACCCGGTGTGGCTTCCTCTACATCGGGGAAACCAAGCGGAGACTCGGGGACCGCTTTGCAGAACGCCTACGCTCGGTTCGCAATAAACAACTGCACCTCCCAGTGGCGAACCATTTCAA